GGCAGCAGATTCGCCGCGGGCAAGGAGAAGGGGGCGGCGGCCATGTCGGGTCCGCGCGTGGCGCCCCCCACTCGCCCCCTGCCCGCCACGAAATGGCGGCCGCAGCGGCGCGGGGCTGCCCGGCCTCGGGCCCGCGCGGGGCAGCCACGTCGGGCCCCGAGGGGCTTGTCCCAGCAAGGAGAAAACAGCCTTTTCCCTCATGAATTCTTAGGGGACAAGCTCTGGGAGGAAGGATGGGGGAGACTGGGAAGAGAAGTAAAAGCCCCAGAGGCAGGAAAGGTTCAGGCTCCAGGCCATGGAGTACCTGGCAGCAGCAGTTCAGACAGAAAAAAAAAAAATAAAATCAAGAAGCAGTGACACCCTGGAGAGATAAGACGCTATCATGAAAAGGGGCAAATCAGTCCTAAGAGCAGTATGGAGTAGTTGTCTTTCTCAAGATGGTGCGTGTGGGAAACCCGGTCCACGGTCACGCTGTTGGTTGGGTACGCGGCTCCGCCCACGCGGTTCTGCTGCAGGCAGCCGCGACTGCCCTATTTCTGGCAAAAAGGGGCTTTTTTGTGTGTGCGCATCTTTCCTCAGGGCACCAAGTAGACTAATGTAGCACTGCTAAGGGCCATATGTCAGCATTCAAAAACATAGGTTTTGCAAAGATGAACTGAAATCCATCTCCGTTGCACATGCATATAAAGAGGGGAGACACAACTATCCATAAATAAGAACTCTGCATGTGGATCCAGGGATCCATGGGTTATTTTTTCCCTCTTCTAAGCGAGTTGAAAGGCTTCTCCCCTATCCACCTGGCTTCCCAAATTGCTTCTGATAGCAAGTTGGTGTCACAACTGTTAATAACAGTCTGCCAAAGAGACTCGGSTCCAAATTCCATTTTTACAAGCCTTGGTACCGAAAGATTGCACCTGACTGCTGAGATAGGAACCTACATACCTGCATTCTCTAGTCAGCTAAGAGGCAGCTTCATTTACCTTGGACCATCTATGTAAAGTTTTCAAATTTAAATAGCTACTTTGCCCTGAATTTGCAGACTGAGAGATCTTAAAGGGACTTGATTTTCAGAAATTGGAAATTAGGCTCCTTTGTGGGTTCTGGTCTACACCTGAGAATTCAGGATCCCCAAATGGAGCCATATTAACATTTTGCAGTTTGAACAGTTTTTYGTATCTGCTGACATCACTGGCCAAAGCATTTTAAAGGTGAGCTGAATCAGGATTTCAGCAAGCATGGACCTAACTGAAAGTTAAACTCATTATTTCAAATAACAATCCTCAGGAAGACAGCTAAAGAAACACTGAAGGTATTGAAATAAATCATTCTGAGCTAGAAATAAAGACAATAAAAATTCTTGCTAGAATAATTTTTCCTAACTAGAATAAAAGTGGTTTGATCAGTTTTCTTCAAAACATTCTTTTCCTCAGGGTTAAATACAGGAAATTACAGTCCACACCAATTGCTAGGGAAAAAAACTCCTGGAGCTAAATATATCTTTAGAAAATAAGCTAGTTTGCAATTATAGCTTTTTCCTGAACATTTAAACAAGTTAGTACAAGATTTTCTCAGGCAACAAAACATCAAGATTGTTTAAAACAACCATCATATTGTGAAAGTTTTATGGCAGAAGTGAGTGTCCAAGCATGAAAATAGAACTATTTATCCCACCTCGAGACATGACTTGTATCAGCAGAAAGGAAAAAGGAGGTGGAGCTACTTGTACAGCACAAGAGGAAAAAAAGCTACTCGTAAAAAGCACTTTATGTGTCCATGTACCTTATTCGAGTCTTCAAGCTAAACAATTTTTCTGCTGCTTTGACAAAATTAAATTCCCATCTACATACCAGTGTCCCCATCTGGGTCTTGAAGCACAATGTGGAGACCTCAGTCTTAAAAGACCAGCAACATCAGAGGTGTTTGCAGGTAGAAACACCCAAGGAGTATGGAGTATCAATGCTTCAGTCTCCATTATACCACAGGGCTGCATGTCTGTCTCTGATTTCAACATTAAACTTAGGAACTCACTTAGGAACTCAAGGTGAGATGTATATTATTTACATTTCACTTTATACCAGTCCAGTCYTACCGAAACACAAGGCACATGGGGCTTTAATCTGGCCCCAGACTAAAGGAAGCTGGACAAAAAGGTGTTATGATATGCCTGAATACCAACCTCATGTGCACGTGAGTGCTCCCAGAAAAGAGGGCTTAAATTCTTTTCTGAATTTTGAATGATCATTTCCATTATGCCATCACATTAAGTCTGTTCACAAGTTCAGGAAGGCATTTTATATACAATTATCAAATTAAAAAATAGCTGCCTGCTTTGTACAAGGAAGTTACTAAATTTATTTCCACCGCATTTAAAAGCCATAAGAAATGCTTCCAGTCAACTGAAAATTCCACCATTGCAATATATGGTAAATCCCCACTCAATTCCTCTCATTATTCATTTTAAAATCTACTGCCATGTTAACAGTCAGGAAACTCAGGTTCACTAGTATCAGAACTCTAGCTGAGCACACTCGAGAACACAAATTTTACATACAAATTTCATTTCCTGCCATAAAGTACATTTGTTTGCTTTCCACAACATGATCCAAATCTACATCACAAGTCCAGTGCCTGGGTTGTTGCGTGCAGTCTCTAGGCTTAAGTCTTCTAACTAAAAGGAGGTTAGAAGTGCTAAGACAGCAGAGTAAAAGCCAGGAAAATACTGTACCGCTTTTGTTAGATGAGTTTGGGAGCTAACATCTCCTGAACCCTGTTCAGTTACTTCAGACAGTACCAGATGCCACAAACAACAATCAAACTTTAAAGCAGGAAAGTGTTAGTTTGTGTCCACTTTTGACACCAGTGGCTTTCGACACTTCCAAAATCCTGTGAGTATCTCCAAGTCTCACAGTAGCATGTCCAGATCAAAAATGTAATTGCTCCTATTTAGTAGAAATAAACAGATTCTTAGAAACTATAACTTGTCTATAGGTAGGTATCAGATGTAAGAAGCTCAATAGAATATAAATAACCTATTAACAGCTATATTTTTTTTTATCCTAAGGCAGCTTTCACTCGAGTTTACCACATGGTTAGAATTAAATAGTTGCTGGGAGCAGTTCGTAATCACTGTATTAGCTACCTCTTTTTTTCCTGGATTACGCTCACCTCTCCCATTACATTTTCTTCTTTGTTTGCTACAGGAAAACTTACCAAAAGCAGCAAGTCGTGCAGCATCCTCTGAGAAAGCTTGGGTTTGATGGTCTCTTTTCTTACGTTACTCAAAATGAGTGGAAACTGCTCGCTATGGATTCTATTTTCTATCAGAAATCTTGTCCTGGAGTTCTTTAGCCACTGTTCACAGGTTGTGAACAGCTGTTCTTACAGACCTTTTGTCTGGCAGTAACTTTTACAAGGATTAAAACCATATGGGCCTGACATTGAGTATTTTACCTGTGCTTCAGCATAGCATACAAGTCTAAGTTGAGCTTTAGTTAAATGAATGCCTGCCTGTACAGCATTGCAGGAAAAAAAATAAAATTAAAAAAATAAAAATCAAGTCTCATTTGCCAATCTGTTAAGCTGTAGTGTTCCCAGGAAAATCAGTTTTCTGATTAATTTGATTCTGCTTAAATCAYATTAAGCATGTAAGATTAAACAGGAATAGGGCAGTTCTTGCCACTTCATGCGTTTCTGTTTAAGTGTCATGTCAGAATCTTTGATATAAAAAATTAATGTGAATTAGGGCAACTGAATTTGTATTCACCTGTCTATATTATGAATTTTAAACATAACTTACGCCTTGGGTTTTTGGGCTTACAGCGGTTACAGCAGTATCTTTAGCAAAGCTACAGCTGCAAGTGAACAGAGCAAATCACCCACTGAGTTGTCTTATCAAGTCAATGCCTGTGACAGAGAGACGCAACAGGAGCAGCCCCTTCTAGGCTATGATTAATTTCTTTGTCTTTTTACTTTGAGGGGAACATATAAAAAAAATCAAAGGAGAGAATAACTTATATTTCAATAATAAGAAAAGAGACAGTGGTTCTCTGAAAGTTCTAATATTTATAGTATTTTGAAGTTTCTTCTTTCTCACATATAAAGGGAACCTAACCCTTCAGAGGATGTTCATCCAGTCCAGGAGACTCAKAGAAGTTTAAACAAGTGCACTGAAAAAGTTGGTGTTTGTAAACATTTATTTCTCTTGAACTGAAAAAGGCTTGCATCAGCACACATTGTACAGCCTTGCAAATTACACAGAAATTGAAAAAAGGTTTCTTGTCTCATTTGTATGTGCAATGAATCTTTTGATGTCCAGTGATCCTCTGCAAATGATGAAAACTTAAACCATTAAAGAGGGTTCCAGCACTTATCAAACACAATTATCTTTGCGTGAAAAAGAAGAGAGATCCATACTGGTGGGAACACAATTAAAGTGCAAACATTCTGTCACTTGTGAAGATACATTTCAGTTTCTTCACACTTTTGCTAAAAAGAACAAATATTAAAATGTGATTCTGTGAACATTCTTTATAATCTATTCATATTCCCCTTTATATATTTATCTTGCTGGATCAGAAAGAAAATCCTTCAAGGGTACACACATACTTGTAAATTCTTTTGACATTGCTTGAATGAATCTCAAAAGAAAAATGACATCTAAGGAATTAACTAGTTACTAAAATTATATTAAAAAAACAACACACACACGCACATATACGCAAAGGAAAAGGAACAGGTTAACTTGAAGATTTGGGGTAGTTTCTTAGAAAACAGTGTTAATTCCTTGAAAATGGTTCTCTCCACCCTCTCCCCCAGGTTCCTGCCTTGGAACGGATAGCTGTGTGCTGGCAGTGAAAAGGGATTATAAAATACAAATCTGAACATGGGTATTTGTTACGAACATTTGCTGTACAATAGAACTTTAGATCTGATACAAGAATTGAGAAATATAAAACAAAACTACTATAAAAGTGAGGGGATTTTAACAGCATTCCTTACAGAAAGCTGCCTTTCTGTCTCAAAGATGATTGCTTGCTATTGTCTGGGATTAACTCTGTACTTTTTTTTYCCTTCATCTTGCTGGATCACTGGGTTATTCTTCAATGGCTAATATGACAAAACATCCCAGGAGTCTCTATGAAGAGAGCAGAAACCCCATAACATCAAGCCAATCAAGGAGGGAAGGACATGGAAGTAGTAAAGGCTGAGTGTCCACTGATGTAACTGCTACTGAGAACTAGCCCTTTCCAGAACGTGAAAGTCGTAGTGCTTCTTGCTCGTTCTCAGCCTGAACTTGTTAACTGAGGTACTGCTTTGTTTCTTCAATGCGTTCTGAGCAGCTGTCATTGTAGGGAACGTAGCCAGAACTGTGTAAGTGGAGGCCAAGTCACTAGGTTTGGACGGCTCAGTGTTCGCGTTATTATCTCCACTGTTACAGTGACGACGATGCTGCTGCTGCTGCTGCGTTTGTAGACACTGGGAATCCCTCAGCCACCGAATCTTGGCACCAACTTTAAAAAGTTCTCCAAATAGTTTTTCTGCTTCCATACGAGTTATTCCTTCCGGTAGTTCAGTGATTTCTAACACTTTTCCCACAACTGAAACAAGAAGAACATTAAATTAGGAATGTTTATGGCACTAAAGATACATAAAGCACAAATCAACAGTGAGTAAATGTATCCTGCCCTCTGCCATTCAGTTGTTGTCACATACRCTGTCATTTCATTTCTGGTGCTTTAGAGAACTTTTTGCTTTCACATTTAGCACCATGTACAAGTATAGAAACAAAAGCTTAGAAGAGAAGTTAGACAAAGGCCCCTCAAAAGAAAACAAAGGAAAAAAATTATATGTACACCTAATTTGGCAGCAGGTTTAAAAACTCTTAATAACTTCTGACAGTCTTACAGAAGACTGGTCTTATCTTCTGACCAATAAACTGTTAGGAAAAAATGATTTATGCTTACATTGTGGGGGAAAAAGTTTGCAATAGGTAACATTTCTTTCCAGTAAAGATTTGAAGACTGCACATGTCCAGTTTAATTTGCATGACATTTCTACCAACTCCAAAGAGCTCATCTATAGGTACTCTGGGAAATTAAACCAGAGCTCAGCATGAGCCTGAGCATGCCTTAACACCAGTAGGCTTACTGGCTCCCCCAAATCCGTGTGCTTATTTATATCAGAAAGGGACAGGGGAGAGGGAACGCAGAAGCATCTATGTGGTCTGTGTATGACTTCAAGTTTCATGCAAGTAAAAGGAAGTRAAGGTTCTGCACATTTAATGCAATATTAGAAAGCAGTATTGTCTGGTAACTTATGTTCAGTAAACTGAAAACCTTTTTCCTTCTCTCTCTCTCTCTCGATGAAGTCTTCTTCCCTCCATCCTTATTTTTTCCAGCATTTGCCTTGTCCATTTTTGTCCAATTACCCTTTTTTTCGCCCCCCTTATCCTCTATACTTTTCTTGCTACTCCCAGATTTGTCATCATAATTCACCAYATGAGATAATAATAATAAAAAACACTACCACACCCTACATACATTTCAGCTGTCTCTGCTCTGTTCTGATTAATCCATTCTGTTGGAGGACTGGGTCAATCAGCAATTCTATACCTGGTTCTCCAGCACCAAAGTCTGCCGACGCAGCCTTCTTTGCTGTCTTCTTTCCCCTGTTTCCATGTCTGTTTCCAGGTTGACACTGGAAAGATGGATATAAGCACATACTTGATTGACACTGTATCAGTTTGTAAAATTTCATTATCAGCTCAACAAGAGATGGTGCCGAAGAATAGCYGGAGATGGTGCCAAAGAAGGGCTCCACACTGCAGTGGCACCAAAAAGATCTTTGGACCCAATATTAGTTTAGCAAACATGCAGTGTCAGGCTTGTTCAAGCCATGGCTTCACAAGAAAAATAAAGAGGGGGGAAAAAAAAAAGAAAAAAGATCAAACACCTCTTTGTTTAGAAGTATCCATATGTATCTTTTACTTTTTGAAGTTGTTAAATAAAACTGGAGGAAAAAAATATTTAAGCACACATTACCTCTCTGATTTTTTGGAACTGTTAGCAAATCAAACAAACTATGCTGTGCCTTGTATCTTCTTTTGCAGGTTGAAATTTAAGAAAATTGTAAAAAAGCTAGATTTCAAAATAATATTTTTCACTGTTTTTGAAACAAAAGACAATGGGAAGACTCAATCACAGAACAAAACTGCTACTGAAAAGCAGTTACCTTCCAATCATTACATTCCTAGTGTATTAATATATTGCTCTGCTCACAGCTATAGCAGTGGCAGTCCTGAATTATTCTTTTCAGTGTGGCCAGGAGAAAGTTTTTTCTTACCTGTTGGCTTGTTACTTGTCCACGTAATAAAGGTGGATTGTATTGCAGGGGCTGGCCAAGCAATGGGTATCTTGTATCTCCTTAAAGAGAGGGGTAATTTTTGCAATAAAAGTGGAAAACAGCAATTACGCAATGATTATGCATGTCTAAAGACAATAAGGTTTTCTTTATCAAAAGGAAACATGAACTCCACCCCCCCTCTCCCCCCCCCGTAATTCTACCTTATTCTCTATCACTCATTTTTTAAAAATAGATCCATTAGCTTTTAGCTTAGAAACTATATCAGGACACCCTTAATCAGTGACAAGAAGGTGATGTCCATGTTCTTTTTTCTTTTACCATTTATTTTTAAACATCATCAATATTCATATCCCTGAAAATTCTGTCTACTGTTCTTCTACTACTAGGGCAGCAGAGGACTGATACTCTTCTACAAGGAATTTCTCATATCTTTGGATGGGAGAACCTAAAGGAGGATAACAGAACTATTTATTACTATTTGAAATAGCAGTATTGGCTAGAGGTTCCAGACCCACAATGACAGTGTTATTAGGGAGGACTTAATTCATACTGGTTTGATTCAGTGCACTATCAAAAAACAAGAGTTTGGMAGATAATTTATCTTAACTGAATTAAGTTTCTTTGTCTTTTCCCTCCATTATTTGGCTTTGTAATTCTTAAGCTTGGTCTTAAATTGCATCATTTTAAACAGTGTAAAATTTCTTGATTTATAGTTAAAAATTAAAGCAAAGTTATGTCAAACATCAATAGGACTTACAACGCTGAAATGAGAAATTCCACACATGAGAAACATAGAGGGTTATAAAAGCTCTCCCAACAACACAAAGATTAATCGTTTTGAGAATATGGGAGCTGGTGCAGAAAGAAGGATGTGTTTTTTTTTATGCGGTGAAGAGTGCCTAATTCTGATCTTACTTCAAAAGCATTACTAAAAAGTGAACCCATTTATCTGAAAATTCTYATATAAATTATTAAAGAAACAAAATTATAGAAAAAACACATTTTGGTTAACTGAAAATATACCTTGTCCGGRAACAAAAGGTCTAGAAAACTGGGGCACAATAGAAAGAGGTGTTAAAGTGGRACGGATGTTCTTCATATTTGATAGCTGAACTGGTGCTGGTGATTGGGCCGGTGAGGTGACAGGACTACCTAGTTGAGGACTATGCTGCAACTACAAGAAAGATAATGCCAAGAAGTTAGTGTTTAAAAATATATTTTGTTGAATGAGCTACATAATACCTATAACATTCAAACATGGGAAACAAAGTTAAAGTAGTTGTAATAAGTACTATTAGCAAAGATTTACTTTCTCCAAAAGAACTTAAGACATGCCAAAATGCAATTTATAGATAGCATATGATTTGCAAAAAGCCAAACCTCATACCTGTGGGGCACTGTCTAAAGTGCTAAATTCTGTGGACTTCTGCCCTCTTTGATGATCACAGTAATATTTATTGTGTTTCCACTGTGGAGGTGAATGGTTCCGAGGCTGGGCATTGTTGGGTATATTTAGTTGCATCATTACTACTCCTCCACCTGGTGGTGGTGCTACTGCTATAACACAAGAAACAAGGTGATACTGTTAGCTCACTTCAATTTTCATTTTAGCAGAGCAGATGTGAATTAAAAAAAAAGCAAATAATATAATGAACATTTTTCAAGGTATATTGCTGAATACTAGGAAACTAGAGCAGTGTCTTCTGTACCGTTACACTTCTGTTAGCAGATAAATCTTTGATGGATAATACAGAAGGCTTCTCAGAAATGTAAAAACATTGAAATTCATTATTGAGAATATTTTTTAAACAAAGCATTTAATTTACGTGAAAGTACTTAGCATTAGTTAGTACAATGCATCAATGAACAGGTCATAAAAAATAAGCAGTATTTAAAAATACAAATTACACATTTCAGCAGCAATATAGACTCAAAATATTTTCTCCAACACAGTATCACACATCATAAAAACATAGAATTATTCTTTATAGCAAAACAAGGCTAATTTAGCCTCATGGAAAATTAGTTTCTACATGCACTCATTTTTCTGGACAAAGATTGTAAATCTTRTCCTGTACCACTCTGTCACTGTGGAAGCTACAGAAGTTCCCAAGTGACASGGAGAACAGTTGTTCAGTGAGGCTTCGTGTGAGGAGCTCAGCGAGAGCCTATGTGCAAGTGACTCCCCTTGGGCTTGGCCTCTAGGCAGTTTATATCTTGTCTTGTCCACTTCTAATTAGTTGTTTGTCATTTCCTTTCCCTGCTCTAGCCACTAACTCTTTACATAACTTCTCAAAAACCACAATTGAAATATATGGGGTTTAAAAATAATTTAGTCATCCAGCTTTAAAGAGAGATGAGTCTTCTTATTTCACCATCCAGTACATTTTCAGACACAAGCCAGACACAAGATGAATGTATTTTTTAAATGAKTTTTTTACACTACTCATACTCCCCTAAAAGAAACAATTTGACTCTTTAGAAAAACGAACTGAACAACAAAAACGTACATCATTCTGCTAAACCTATATTAACTTTTTTAAGTTGTCTTCTGAAATATTTACCATCTGGTATTTATCAAAACATAGAAAATAATAATARCAAATGCTCTCAACACCTATTTTCTTTTGTAATCAACTATCAGAAGATTTTCAACGGCAAGAACGAACTATTATGGATGGAAATGAAAGCATCAGATATCTGGTCAACTTTAGCAGAGAATGTAGATTAAAGAGTCATTGTTCTGTCCCCTCAGCACACTGGTTGTGAATGCTCCCATTTTGCCATATGCCAACAAGGCTACTTAATCAGAGTAATTTCTATAACCATTTCCAAATAGCAAAATCATATATTTAGATAYTATGCAAAGTTAAAATGTACCAGGTAATTACTACATTTTGCACAAGAAAACGGATTCTGTATTTTATTCACAGTATCCACATTTTATGAACTGCATACAATTTTTTTTTTATTGCTTTATAATACATTTATATTTTAATCTTCAACGCTCAGCATACTATATTCAATATTAGCATACTACCGTTTTGGGCTTTTTTCCTCTATTCCATGACATCCGAACACCTAATAAAAATGCCTTTCAAAAAAAATCACAGTATCATTTCTTAACACAAACAAACCCACCCCACTGTCACAACCTCAACATGCCATTTGAATTGCAAAGTGAAGTTTGTGTATCCAGAAAGACAGATTTTGTTTTTTCCCTACTAGTTCCATACCATTTCAATAAATGGAAATAAAAATAATTGTTTTCTTGAGCTTGCTGAAGGAGCAAAGCCTCAGAGGGGACATAAGTCACCTTGCAGACACTTCATCGGTGATCAAAATGTTTAAGAAAGGAAACTTGTTAAAAAAAAAGTCTTGAAAGGCGTCCAGATTAGATCCTCTATAATAATAATAATAATAATAATAATAATAATAATAAAATTTAAAAAGTAAAATAAAAAACATAGAAAAAAATACCACTAAGTTTCCTGTCTCTGTATGTTCTCATCATCCTTAATCACTCTGATTCATCACCTCAACAGCACTGTTGCAGTGCCATTTAAATTCTGTCAATACTTGCTCTATGTCACMAACGAATTCCCCTTCTGCAAACTTCTTGAAATCACAGAAATTAACAAATTTGAATCAAGCCTTCAACAAAACTGCCTAAACCAAAAATATGAAGACAGGGTGGAAAAACAAGCAATAGCAAGTCCAGTTTTAGACACACTGAAATGACAGTCTTCAAGACCTGCTACCAAAGAAATTTCAAGGAGCAACAGCACCACGCCTGTACATCAACTAAAATACACTGCTAAAACACCAGCTACCTTGTCATTTAACTGCCTATTAACTATTTACTAATGAACAGGCTAAAAATACTTTACAAGATAAACACTGACAAGAAAAATCACATTTATATTGGAATCTAGGTCATTGACCCAGGGTTGTTTAAACTGCTGTTTGCTTGCACAATACAGATAGAAATATTTGAGATTCAAGCTTTTTTTGGCAACCCAGTCTGTAACTCATCTAATTTCCTATCAGTAAAAGAAGGACAAAACCAGTATGATTATAGGATTGTTCTATAGCTTCCTTACTTACAGTCTAACCCTAATGCCTAGAATTCCCYGAGTAGTCTGCCAATGAGAGTTGCAGACAGTAATTCACAGGACACAGAAGTTCAGGTACTAGCACTTACAAACATTTTGTGGGTGTAACAAGCACTGTATCAAAGCTGTTTTCACACCCCATTGAGGATGCTTTTATGCACTTAAGAATCACCCAAATACCTTGGAGATCACAGCATTTTGAACTTGGTTCACAAGTGTTCAAAAAAAGGGCACTCAGGTCAATTCTATCAGCCTGGAAATCGAGCTGATAACTCACAATAGATTTCTAGACAGAACGGCTTAAAATAAAACCCTACTAAAATATACCTTTTATGGGCTGCATGATGGAAAGACCAGTGGGCGAACTTTTACAGGATGAGGGTGAAGACACTATGCTGTAGTGCACAATGGAAGCAGCCTGTTGCGGCTTTGATTTTGATGAAGGTGGCAATAATGTAGGAGGTGATGGCTTCCGACTTGAATGGTTGTTATAAACTATGGAAGTAAAAGCAGTCAATAAGGCTACTATTAAAGACAAAAATGAATAAACAAACAGAAGCCACAAAGCAAAAAAAGCAGCACCACACATCAACACACTTAACTATTTCATTTCCCCTTGCAAGACATCCAAAGAGCTATTTTTCCTCTCTATCTCTACTGAATAATGCCTAATTTTTTTCATGCTTTTCTTTCCAGCAGCTCTTGGTAAAAGCATACACACACACACAGCTCCTGGTTTATTCAAACAAATAACCTTGAATGTTTTTTGAGCAGAGGAGCCACAGTGATTTTAGCTCTATCAGATGAAGCYCCAAATCTCAAATTTTTCAGACCTGTAGCACTACTTCAGAAGTCGTTCTCCTGAGTCTGTTTTTATTACTGTCTTCCTTTCACAACTCACAAGCATACTAGAAGTCATTCTGATGCATATTATTCAATTCTAGGTAATTTGAGAGTTTTCAACAATTAAGAAATCAAGCTGCCCCCAGTACAACTTAAAAATTACGAAATACAGAAAGGAATAATACTTAACTCTAAATCACATCCTTCATAGCAAATATYCAACTACTCAGCATAATAACAGCAAGAAACATTTGAAGTTATTCAAAAAAAAAAAAACCCTGCTTATTCCCAAACCTGCACACTGCTGTCCTTGAAGCTGCTGTGAGTTGCATGGTGACGATGTTCTAGGAAACTGTATCTGCTCTGATCCGGGAGGCTGCAAATATCCTACTGATGAACTGTAATAAAAATAATTGAAAAAAAAAAATCACTAATACGAAAGAATCTGTGCAATACTGCTTTCAATCATGGCTGCTGCATTAGTCATTTGYACATACTGCAGATGAAATAACTTTATAATCTTTTCCCTCAACTTTTCCCAGAATCTGTTTATTTTTTTCCTTAGGAACTAAGTTTAAGAAAAAATCTCTATCTCTTCATAAACCATATCTGATCACTATAGAAATTGCCGTGAGGTTTCAGCTGCWGTCTCTCAGCTGGAGCTTCGTCCCAAGCAGGTGCTCCAGGGCAGACTGCGAACACAATGAGCAGCTCCAGCGCAGAGCAACGCACCTTAAATGGATGTCTGTGGTGACTGCCTTGCCATGGCTCAAATGGGCTTGCTGAATAGGTGGAGGGGGGAAATGAAAAATAACCTGTCATTGAAGAAGTTTCAAGCAGATGGAATCTTCAAGTGKTTGTGACATCTATGGAAAGTACAACTTTAAAAGTTCATTTATGCCAGATATTATTCATGCATTCAGGGGATAGAAAGCTAAGTGACATAGTCAACTTCTATCATACTACCAGCTTCTTGCTTTATAGAAATACACAAGCTCAAGAAAACTCATTTACAARGTATCAGTGAGATGCATGATAAAATTTAATCATATGCTTAAAAATATCTGCTGAATGGGACAGGCTACAGAGCAACAATTTAAATAAAATTTCCAWTTTCTAGATGCCACACTGGTGTTCAGCTTTGCAGTTACACAGCTGCCTGGTAGCATGCACATCTGTGCAARAAGTGGGAACTCTGAAGGCAAGTCTTTCTTTTGAAACACGCTACTGACAGAGTTAGAATATCAGCTAGATGAAATACAGGATCATAAGAGGTAAAAGAAAAATCTAGCAGGAAGGATACAGTTTTTTTTTAAATAATTCCAAGGTGTGGGGGAAAAACATGGGTATAATTCTGTTGGCTATATCACCATTAACTATGTCTTCACAGGCAATTTGTSCTGTTCTTCGCCCCATAGATAATTATACAATTTTAACTAAAGTGCCCCATTTAAGCAGGCAAAACTCAGTACAACTGAAACAGATGATTTCACAGCTGCATGAAACAGTTTATTTCATAGCTGCACATGAAATATGCAGATTCGCACAGCTTCCCACATGTCTACAGATTATAGTTTTACTTTCAATAGTGACTGATGGACTTGAAAATATTCATCCCCTGCAGAACAACATTGTACCTTCCTTGTCCAAGCACTCCAGCCTACCTATTTTGGTAGCAGCAAGATGCTGCCTCAGTATTTTAGACTGCTCTATATTTAAAAACAAAAAAAAATTTCCCTCCCAATATTTTCCTCAAAATATTTTCTCTGCACTCACAGAAGGGTGAAGCTCTGTTGTTAAACAGGATGAAGAACTTCATACTGTTACTTCAAATTTAAATCCAAGAAGACAAAGTAAAGGAAGATTTTTGAAAAGCGTTAATYCTGATTAATTGTCATAGACATTTACCTGCTCTCTCATCAATATTCATATCATTAAGACAGAGAGATGTCTGTACACATAGACCAACTTGCTGCTATCAAAGTTAAAAAAGTTGTTTTTCAAACAAAATCTGAACACATAAAAAAGTATTCCTATACTCCTTTCATAGTCAGGTTTGTGCCAGCAAGTTTGATTAGCTACATCAAGAAAATAAGCTAAGCTCCTTTCAGACAATCCTCCACAAAAGGAAGAAATTAACAGTCTATTTCTGGGGACTCAAAATCTTTTCTCTATCCCTTCTTAAAGTAGCATCTTTGACTAAACCAGTAAATAAAGTCAGTCATCCTAARTGTTATTGTAAAATGATGTTTCATATAAGGATGTGTATGAAAGGAGCAGACAAAAATAAAACTTAGGACGATATTATGAYAAACTGTTGATAAATATGAGATGGAAATTTGCTTTGCAGTAAACAAGTCCAATTAAAGCAGCATTTATTATTTTAGTTGATTGGAGAAAACAAAAACAAGAAGTGTTGCTGAAGATTAATTAATGGAGCTAAACTCACCTTAAATTATTCTGTTGACCTGATGGAATGACGCTATAGTAAACTGGCATTCCTGTTGCTGGCAATCCTTGATTTGACTGACTGGGTATTAAAACAGGCTGCTGATATGTCTGCTGGGGCACGGCTTGGGAACCTTGAGGCATGGAAACCTAAAATTGAGAGCATATTCAGACTTTCTTCTGCAGACAAAGTTTTCTTCTACTTYCTGACCATTATCCAGGTATATAAAGAAATACAAACATCAAGAAATACACACTGAGYTAATTCCTTCTTACCATTAAGGCAACAATCTATCCTAGAACATTACTTATTTGCTAATCTAACTACATACTCCATTTTCATTAATTTAYACAATTTAACAAGTGGAACTGTAACAAAAAGAAGTATTTCTTTGATTTTATTCAATAAAAGTTCAGWCTAAGTCTATGATTTGAAGTAATTAAAAATAACAGGAGAGGAGAAAGAAGACTGTATATGTTTACTCCTAAGCAAAGTAATTGGGGAAGCGAATTAAGTTTGGCACATGACTCTAAGCCTCCACATTATACCACCATATCTAAGAAGCATAAACCATGCTAGTTTGTGAGAAATATTAGGCAGAAGTCCTAAGTCAAGTTACATAATTTCTTCACCATAACCTCAAGATATSTACTTGAGGTTGCTTTTTACGCAAAAGGCAATAGAAAATTCTTGAATTCTAGAATTTTCTTCTTCCCTCTGGTATTTTGCTGTTTGAGATAGTTGCTTTAAGAATCTAAAAAAAACAGTGACAACAAGCAAGTAAAGATACAGATGCACAAATAAAATGCTAGAAAAAAAAAAAATTAAGCATTTGTATACCTCTCATAATTAACCAGTCAGTTCAGAAAAAAAATATGATTTTCCTTAACAGAAGACAGAAACACACTTTGAAACAATGAAAATCCATAGAGCAATGATATTGCTTTATAAAAACATTTTTTTTTCTAAAAACAAAGAAAAAAAGCTGCGTGCATTGAGGCAAATCCCCTGCCCAAAATTTCTTTAATTTCTTTTGCATGAGTCTAAAATGTTTGTACAGACAGAGTAAATAGGCACCACTGTCCCTTGGTGCCTTACAGACTGAAGTCTGACACCAGGAAAGAGTTTTAGGCAAATCAGTGAATAGCCCTTTCTGAAGAACAATTGTTGCAAAACCACCAACTTTTTTCATTTTTCAACTATGTTGGTAACTAAGACATTTACCTAATCATGGAAAATAAACAAACAAACAAAAACAGGAGGCTAAATTTCAAGCTAAGTGTGGACTGAGGGACTTCCCAAAGCAAAAGTTTCACATATGTATGGATCAAGTTCCATAGAGGAAGCTTTACAAGTTTGAAAAGACATTTTCAGTAATGCTGTAGTAACTGATAATAGTTCCTATGATTAAATCATTCTAGATTTCCCAATTGGTATAGCTACAAGGCCATATTAAATTCTCCTTCAGATTATTTGGTAAGATATGGATCTTATATATAGAGAGAGATATGGAACCATTAGCTTAGATGGATAAAAGGATCAAGCTTTCCTACACCTTCTCCCTTTTTTTTCCTCCTCAATTAAGTAGAAAAAAAGTCAGAGAACATTTCTCTAGTCTTGCTAAATTTAATTTTTTTTTTTTTTTGTAGTGGGGAATGAAGAATGGGAAGGTTGGAATTCACTAGGCCTGAAAACTGATTTGCACTGAACTTTTTTTTTGATTTGCACTCCACCCAAGAGATGCCATTTTATAAAGACATTACATGGAAGGAGCTGCTCATAGCAGAAATCTTCTACCCTTCAAAGTTTTGTAAAGGTCCAATGAAAAAAAGCAGTCTTTATAGGCAAGTTCTCCTTTTAAACAACTTTGTTGACAGCAAGTACAAACTGTCCAATTCACTATTACATAGCAATGCAGTTTAAAAAACTCCCCCCTCCCCAAACTGCAGAAGGGTTGTTAGAAAGTTATGAATTAATTAATTACCCACCTGATACGATGGCATTGAAGGATATGGAACAATCACACCTTGTATTTGATTCCCAATGTTGTTGTGTTGGCCACTGACTAGATTCTGATTCTGAGACTGCTGAACTCCAACTAAGCCCTGGTAGTTCTGTTGCTGGTTAGGCAAAACTTGGTAACCTGAAATCATATATTCAAATCTTATTTTGAAATAATTATATCTGATCTCATTTTATATACAGTTGCCTATACAAAAAAAGTTTCTTTGACATTTTCCTTGATTTGATTGCTCAAAGCTCAGAAGTACTTGCCAGGACAAGGCCATTTTACGTATGTTATGCTAAATAACTAGCATCTTTGGTACCTTGGAGAGAAAAATATCTTCACAATGATTCAAGACCTAAGCACACTAAGGAAGTTTGTGCAAGGCATGTATGCAAGTCCTTTTTAAAAGGGTGATTTTTATTGGAGACCATAATGCCAAAAAACCAAATGTGAACTGAGAAAAATCCTCCAGGTAAAAGTCTTACTTATATGCAGCTGAAGACATTTTGTATTCGAGACTATGCGGAAAAAAAGCTCTCATATCAGGCCCTTTACAGCCTTCTCTATACCAGTTAATTTACTGCTTAAACAGGCGTCCAATTGCTATCTTTTACAAAAGGCCTAAGTAAAAAACAACAGTTAAGCACAGGACCAAACACGAAATGGCATGGGTGCAATAACTATAATCTTGCCATTCCCGCTCCCCTTCTTAAACATCCAAAAGCTACAGCGTCACCATCACCTAAAGATGGTAAGTAAAATTCTTTATTATACTCTGCCACACATGTATGAACTTAACTACTTATTATTTCAGCAAAAGCCATAAATAGCAAAGTTCCTGAGACAAGSTCAGTTACTAATCAGGAATAATAGAACTGGGCTGTTCGGGACTGTGAGGCACAGACACAGGCAGGRGGAGTGTGCAGGTAACTGGGACACATTTACATGCTGCTGAACTTGACATTCCCCATGCTCTCTGCCTTGGTATTGAGCTATATTTTACTATAACAAATATAGTGGCAAATACTCTTTAAAAATCCATATATTAAAAAAATTCTTATTAGGTACAATGAGCACTGTGAACTTAAATTTCATCTAACAGACCATTAACATAATCAAATATTGACTTCAGAAAATTAAAGGGAAGAAGATTCAGTTTATTRTGAGATCTGTTCGTTCAAGACACACAACAATGCATATAGATATATTCAAAGCACTTCACATTCAGAACAATGCATACCTGAATCAGGTAATTAGATTCATTTACACAAGTTAAGTTTGACCTGCATACAAAGAACTCTCCATCTCTCAGACATATATAATAAAGCATATTTAAGCATTTTGTTACAAAATGATCTGTAACAGTTAKAAAGCAGCCCAATGTAAAGCTGCAGTATTAAAGAGATTCAGTGCAATCTAAAATCCTGATTTCTCAGAAACTGAAGTGTAGCTGTAAATACTTTTCAGCTTCTTCTGGCACTTGCAGACAGACATAAWACAGTTGTAAGCAGAGAGAACTGGCAAAATATAAATTGATCAAAAAGGTGCTCCACAGGATTCCAAAGAAGCCTCTATTGTYTGCTTCGCAACTTTACCTCTCCACGGAAAGTGGTTTAACAGAAAGGCTGYACTCTGCAGAAAAATACGCACCTGCTATTGTAGACTGTCTCAAAGAGAAATACCCTGAAACAGTAGCTACAAAAGGYGCGTGTTGCTTAATATTTACATAGGATAAAATTCAAAATAAATCACTTAACAGATGTTAACTTAGGAATACAGAAATATCTTTTATGAATAACACATTAACTTTTATTCATGAATGGAAAATAAGTTCAATAACCCAGCTGACAATGTTACACATATGTCAGTAATATTTGTTTAACTAGCAGTCATGCATCAGAAGCTAAGTTAACTGATGTTCCCAGAATAATTGCAGTTCAGGTACAGCTTTTTTACTCAGGCTACAACTGGGTCTCAYGGTAAGTGGACCCTTGGTATCATGAGCTGAAATGGTGTTCTCATAAGGAGAACTTCCTCTTCTCATCATCTTTTGGGCAAGCAAAGCATTTTAATAAAACTCAACTCCTCAAATATCACACCTGAAACCCCATTACAAAGGATGCTGGGAAGCAGCTGAAAAAGAGACCGGTTCACTGTGAGAAATGTACACCTCTCAGACAGTGTTACGGCCCCGAATCCAACAGCTCAAACGCAACCAAGCCATTCCACAATATTAAACCAAACACGGCTTCATTTGCCGCATTTTACATAAAAGAACTGCTTCTGAAATTTGTTTTTGGAAAGTTATTTCATTGTTCTTGAGCGTTTCATAAGGTGAATAAAATCCACAGCTTTTATGTAATACAAAGTTCGTTAGAATCTCGTTTTGGACCAGACACATTGCTACATTAGCCAAGAAACATACCGCCTTTGTCTCAAAAACAGCTGTTGCTAATAAGCACCAACCATTTTAGATATAGTTTCATGTCAGCTTAACACAAATATTTAAGCTTTAAAGTGAGTCATTTTAAATTACACTTTCTCATGAGCAGTGCACTAGAAATGAAAACAAAACATGGAACCTTCTGCCTCTAGAAGGCCCACTCAAACTTGCCTACAGAGAAATGAATGACATCCAGCAGCATGTGGGTTACAATTTGGTGATTCTACATTATCTACTAATTATTCTAATAATTATGCAGTTATCAGTAAAGCATCCATCTCTCCAGTTTGTACATACAAAGTACATACTACATTCATTCCAAGTAACCAACAAGGAATGAAATGGACTTACTAGCTGGACCATTCTTTCACTGGTTAAGCCTAGTGTCAGAATTATAGGTACAAGGTATTACTGTCMAAGTATTGAATGCTGTCTGCACAGCTATCTTACTGTCTCTCTTTACTGTCTTATTTCTTCTTACACAGATGGAGATTTTAATTGTCGATGCTTTTCATCACCCTGTCCATGTTACAAGCAGTGAAATTCATGGAAAATGTAAAGAGCTAAAAAATATACAAAAAGACACTTACCTAATAGTAACTGACTCCTCCCTTTGCATCTTAAGAGTTGATATAACTGCACCCCATGCTTTCAAATTCAGATTCTTTTGGGTAGTTACACACATACACTGGGCTGCCTCTGAGTCAGAGTCCATGAACTATTTACACAGGGTGCCCCCAGAAACAGCAAAGTAACCCCAGCTGTGCCTCAGTTCTAGTCTAGGTATTACAAACTCTGAGGAAGAAAGGCAGGTTGTGGAATGCAGATGGATAACACATCTTTAGAACAGATGAATAAAACAACTAGTAAAAAAAATAGTAATTTGTTCTTCTTTAAGCAATTGTCATACACTTCTAAAGACTGTGAAGTGGTGATCTATGATTGCAGGTAGTTACAGTCATTTTAAATGATCTGACAATCCTGCCATAATTGACATGACATCTTGATGATTCTGCAGTGAAATTATCCTACATAAATTTGTGAACTGAGTCTTAAATAAGCCAGCCAGCTGGTATTGCAGCAGTACCTTAAAACTGCTACAGAAGAGGCTGCCATCTCCTCTGAATGCTTTCTCRTTGGTTGCTTCATAGAACAGTTATAAAGAAATCAAACTCATCTTTTTAAGAGCTGATCCGTCATCATATCATGTTAAAACATCACATAGTCTGGAGACAAGTTAAAAAATGTTAAAGAATTCCTTTTTCCTGAAGGAAGCTCAAGAGGATAACTTAAAACTATCTTCKCTAAGGCATGTTATAGAAGTCTGGTTTTAAGGATCTCTGTCAAGAGAGCCTCCAAATATCACTTGTTACTTCTGAAAGCTTTGATTGTGAGAAATCAATTTGCTTTAGAAATCAATTTGCTCAGAAATCAATTTGCTTTAGGACTTCATGCTTTATAGAAAAAGTAATAATATTTTTAATTGAATCGGAATAGCCAGAACTCTGGTTAAGACTTTTAAGGAAAAAAACAACAGGTAAGAAAAGAGACTAAGAAATAGTCTAAGAAACTACCAGTCTAAGAGACTAAGAAATAATTCAGAAACACTAGAAAAGCTTATTAAAAATAGAAGGAGCAGAAAACTAGTCTTGTAAAATTGCTTTATGTACTGTTCAATACAGAGATACYTTTAGTCACAAAGGACAGAAAAACTATTTATTCCATGTTCTCTTCAAGTGCACTCTTAAACAAAATAAAATACCAACAGTATCTTCTCTGCAGTATTTTTGTCATATCACAATGTTTAAAATAAACATATTTTGTTGTTGTTTTGAACTTTCAGCTAAGGTACATCTCTGTAAATGCTCCTTCACTCAGAGTTGTCATTTTATCATATTCTGCAAGTTGCTTAGTTTTAATTTTTCTTAGTTATTCAGCTCTACACTAAAAATAAATTATCCTGCAACTACATGAGCCATTCACATTAATGATCATACCTCAAGATTCATGAGCAACCAACTTAAATTTTTCCACTTAAGGTTAGTTGCATCCTGCATCCCAATACTTGAATTTTCACGTAAGATGCAGCAAAGTTAGTTAAAAAAAAAAAACAACAACAAAAAAAATACAAACCCAAACAAACTAACAAACAAAAACACAAGAACAGAAGCAAATACATGTAAGATGTATTCTGACAAAGTACTGAAAAACTAAAACAAACCTGTCTGCTGTCCAGGCTGTGCCAATGGCTGGTTTTGCTGCGTGTTATAATGAACTGAAGTAACCGGTCGATATTGCTGACTGGAGTGTGAATACTGACTGGGGGTGCAATAACAAGCTGGTATCTAAAATAAAACAAAGACACTCACAATCTGTAACTTCAAAGGCGGCAAACATCGCAACACTAGCAAATGCAAATGGTAAAAGACAGACATAAAACTTATTAAATGGTGCCACTAGTGCCATATGCTTCAGCAATCCAAAGTGTTTATTCCACATAAATTCTCCCTTTAATAACTAATCCTTTTGTTCTCACTGCAGAAGGAGAAAGTCCCAATTTACTAAATTCTCTACATAGAAAACTAGCAATAAGAACTGTTCATTAACTGCTTTGAGCAGGCTCTAAGAAAAATCAGAGAACAATAAGCACTGTCAACTAAAGACTGGGTTTAATCACTGTAAAMCAAGTAGCACCTGTGAAGTGAAAGCACAAAGCAGAGAGCCTAGAGGGAGAGCAGGAAGCTCCGTAAATAGAGCAGGGCAGCTTTAGGCACTTCGGACCAGCTTTATGCAATGCAACATTTTAAATATCAGAAAACCATGAATGCATGAAAAACACAAGGATATACCAAATTCACCTTTGGCAGTTTTAGAATTTCCCTTTTAGTAACCAAGCTCTAAATCTGCATGTTTTTACCAGCTACAGGTGAATAGCCAATCCTGGATTCCTCACCAAATAAAATGAAGTAATTCATTTTGAAGCACATAAGCAGAAAAAATAGTGCTCCACTCTAACAGGGAGCCCTATACCACGTTAATAAGCTCATTAATGGAACAGCATGATCAGTTTTTAAATATAGCTTTCGGGGAAGGGAAACAGAGCCAGTCTACCTGTGGCACAGGTTGCTGCATATATCCCTGCTGCTGGAGTACCTGCTGGTTGACAGGGTGGCCAGGAGTAGAGTAGCCTGGAGTAGAAAGTGCTTGGCCAGAAGGTGGTGGAGCTGCTGCAATGATATAACCAGACTGCTGCGTGGGTTGGAGGACCACAGTGGACTGGAACATAGTGGTGTGAGGCTCAGCTGGATCAGCAGATGGCTGGCGGGCAAGACTCATATGGCTAAACTGGGATCCTAGGTTGTCTTGCTGTAATATATAAAGAAAAAAAAAAGTTTCAGATTTGCATGTCACAAAATATCCTCAGTCAAGAAACAGGAAAGCTGTGGAACAGTGTCATGCAGCAGTAAAGTGCCATTAAGGCTGCCTAGGGGATGGAATGTTCACATCCAGGCCCTTCTTTTCTAGCTTCAAAAAATAATATAATAAAAATAAAACAAATATTTTGTCTCTACCAACTGTAGACTTAATTATTACTGTAAATTTAAAATTACCTAAAATTTTAATTTATGATCTTATTTTGATAATTATGTCACTAGCATTAGGACTACCTAATCCTCTCTCAGATCACCCTGAAGAAGATAAGAGGTGTCTGCAGTGCTACAAAATTAACTATTGGGAGGGAAGAGGGAAAAAAGATGGGGAAACTAAAAAAAGACCAACTTCCACAGTTGCACAGTTCCAAGGCTGAAAATATTAATTACTGCTATAAATTTTCACCTAAAGATGTGAGGGAAAGCTATCACCTGAAAACATGATATAGTACAAGCACAATGAGTCACTGAAACATGGTATTACCAACAAACACATAAACCCAACTGTAGATGGGTTTCATACACATTATGAATGAACTATTTTCCTTAAGTTACATAAGCTGTGAAACTGCCAATACAGATTACATTTAAACATATTTCCTGAACGTGTTATTTCTTGAATGTGAAATGATGTGAAACTATTGTAAACCTGCAAGGAGGTTCCTTTTCTGTTTTAACATATATATACACTCTACAGGGATTGCAAATCATAGCAAAACTTGCACAGAAAGCTCACATTGTCTAAATAACCTTTTTGAGAATGATAAATTATGCCAACTGCAGTTGATAGATATTCAAGTTAAGATTAAAAAAAATCTAAATTTATTCAAAGTAGCATGAAAAATAATGCTAGAAACAAAACACCTTGAACAGTGCAAATTCCTTTTAGAACTGTAAATCTAAGTACAGGTAACAAATAGTTTGTTATATGCAGGTTTTTGAATTCAAATTCATTTTGAATTTCAAAATGTTGAATTTTGAAATCCGCACTTGTTTCATTAGAAGACATTTCTAACTAACACTGAAAACAGTTATAAAACAGCTAACTAAATACATATTGTATCACTTTTTCATCAGCTGTTCAGAGCAGAAGTTTGGAGTTAGAAAGCCTACATTTTTTATCTGAATATTAGTTCAGATTCTACCTTAGACAACTGCTTTCTCCTTGACCAGTACTCAGTTCCTTTCTGTATTAAGATGACTTAGGTGTGCTTCATTTTAATGTTCACAAAACACCAATGGATTTCACTTCCAGTTCCTTTGTTTATTAAGCAAGGGATGCTGGTAAATTGGGAATTCTAGCATTCTGGCAGTTTCAGTGTTCTAAGTGTCAGAGACTAGAAAAATGTAATCTCAGAAATAAAATGAGGCTGATCCCTGAAAAGAAATTTAAGGCCAACAGAAGAAACTCCAGACACAAAAAGGAACGAGACAGAATGGGAAAAGGTTAATCCAGAGATATAGAAATAGGTGCTGACTGGTTAACAAGCCAACAGCACGGAAAAGCTGTTCCCTTAAAGTGGGAATTCCAGAAAATATTTCCCGAGTTGTATGCATTCCCACTGAGCTTGAAACAAACATGTTACAACACGTTTGTACAAACCAACATTTCAGGAACTATTTTTTACCCCATTCCCATTCAGGTAATATTTCACTGTGATTGCAACTAGACCGTCACTACACAGGTTATCACACACCATTTGCAAACAATTAAGCAGAGATCAGCAACCACTAAAGATTAACCCAGGCAGAGAGCAACAGAAGATGTAGTACCACAGAATATTGCTGGGTAGAGGAGACGGGCAGGAGCGGGGGCGGATAAGAGACTGCCGAGTACTGAACAAGCTGCGAGGAAGGCTGCAGAGGCCGGAGAGGCTGAAGAAGTAACAAGTTTATAAATATGGTTAGCATCAAAGTAAAAGGGAAATGAAAAGAGAGTCAAAGGTTCTGCAAAGGAAAGAAAACAATTACACGCCAATCAATAGAAGAAAAGGACAGAATTCTTCCTTCTTAAACCGAAGGAAAAAAAAAAAAAGCCACTTGTTGCATCTCTCTCTACCAGAAGAAACACATTTGCTTTATTGGTTTTATATTAACCATAAAATCAGGCAGCAATTTAGTGCCACTTTACATTTATTTTTTCTTTTAGAAAGACTCCGAAGTCACAAACTTGCAAGCTGTTTCCAAGCATTTAGAGACAAATTCAGTACTAGGCATAGATCAAAACGTTACAAGTTGTAAAGGATTTATGAAGAAATTTGCAGATACTAAACACTTGAAGATTTGCAGTTACTAAACACTTGCAAACCAGGTAGTGGTAAGGAGTACAAAGGAATCTTTTTCAAAACTAAGATCACCACTACTGTAGCATATGCAGCAGATAAACAAGAACGAATTCTAATTCTAAATTTCAAATTCTACAAACGAATTCAAATTCTAAAAATAATTTTGTGCAACAATTTGAAGATAATCTGAATTTTAATTTATTTAATCTGAAAATACTGTGGGAGACTACAGCCAATAGTTTGGTAATTAATACCTGCTAAAAGTAATAGTAAAACCCTTCCTCTTGCCCACTCCCATACATATTTTTTGGGTGTCTTCTTCAAGGGTTAAGGTCATCCTTGATCTGACCCAATTTACTAAGCTTCTATAGTACAGAGCAAGAAGAATAGGATACATTTTATCTTTCAGTATGTAGTTTTGTGAGCAGAGGAAGCCAAAGCACTACTACAGAAGTGTTTGTTCATGCCCTATCAGCCCTAAGCTGCTACTTCTGTGCTGTCAAGACTGCTTGTGCAGCCCAAGAACTCATGTGGCTGAAAAACAGCCTTAAGATATAGAGAAAGAAGGAAGGAAAAAAAACAACAGTTGGATTGTTTCCCTGCCCAGCAATCACATGACTGTTGATGTCCGGACTAGTCAGGCAGTGTGACTAAGAATGACAGTAGAATCCATTTTCCATAGCAGTCTAAGATTACATTGGTTTAAACTGACCATGAAACTACACAGTCGATGCAAACATCACTTGCCTGGGACATACAAGTTGCACAACTGAACATCTTACGAGGTCAACTGCTACCTCGAACTGAGAGAGGAGGAGACAGTGGGATAGCAGCCAACAATACAAGCAAGTTAACCAGAACAGGGAAGGGCAGAAGGGCTGTCCATCAGTTAATCATGCCCATCCTGGTTTTTAACTTTCAGCTTCCAAGGAAGTGATAGCAATAACATGTTGCTTTCTATTGACAGTAGAAATTGATAGCAAAACAGCTTCAGAACCTCTTCAGAACCTTAAGGAGGGCCCACCTACCTTGTGCAGTAATGAAAAAAACAGATCTGACTGAAAGCAGTGGGGAAGGAGGGGATCCAGTTACCTCTATCTGTCTATATGTGCAGCTACCACCCCTCTCCCCCTCTTTTWAAAAATGCTTTAACAGAACCTATTGATGCCTTATTATTAGACAGGGGTACAGTATTATTGACAGGCAATGCAAACACCATGTATTGGACATGTGCACCTGTGACAGGATGTGATTAGCTGCTGGCTGTTGCTGAGGTGGGAGGGGAAGAGGTGGCTGTTGCAGAGGTCCAGGCACTTGGGTCCTAACAGGTTGCTGAGGCATTGGAGGATTGTACACAACTGGAGTGCCATCTGGATTAAGGAACGGCTGACCTGAGGAGTTAGAGAACACACACAGCCAAAAGACAGAGATGCATTATTCAAGTTTGGAGGTGATAAAGGCAAATGTATTTAAAACAGGCAGAATTAAGTCACAAAATTTGAATTATTATAACTATTGTTTCACAGGCTAGACTTATGCCACCCCCCACCACACACAATGCATTTAGAATAGCAATGACCAAACTGACCTCATTYGACAAACTACATGCAGTTAAAAACATGASTGTTCTGGCAAAAAGAAAAATATAGGAAAAAAMCCCAAAATACACAGACACAAAATAGTCTCTACTTGGTGAATTTAAATAGACATTTATTTTGCCAGCTTTGAGAGTCTGTTCTTAATTAGTCTGAAAGAGGCAAAATAATAGGTGAAAATGCTACCTAAGTAATATTTTAAGGAACATTTAAAGGCAATTAAATGAATCTCCTTTAATTGGTTTAAACACCAATGTGAATACAGAACAGCTTGAAGACAAGTATTTTTTCTTTCAAAATACAATAGTTACAACTGTACTCCTATAGCTGCTAATACGGTTACTGTTAAAGGTCTCTTTTCCCCTATCCATAAATAYTTTTAGCTTTCAAATCAAATAATGTGGTATTATATATCCTATTCAGTAATTTGCAGCTTCAGTATTACAGTACTGGACTAAATGCAAAAGAACCAAAAAGAAATGCATAAAATTGATAAGGAATGATTTATTTCAGTTGGGGAAAATGCAAACAAACAAGGTGTCCTGTGGACTGTAATGCTCTTACAGACTTCTTCCACCATATTTAAATGCAATTTAAATTTAAAAGTTTSCCAGTATAAGAGCTGCTGGGTGGGCAGCGGGGAGATGGAGGCAACAAAAGCCTTCAGATGGACACAATCATTTAAAAAATCATTGCCTACACATCACACAACTGGGCTGCAAGTAGTCAAGCTATATTCAGCTTAGCTTAACTGATTTCTCTTTAATGCCCCAAAACTGGGAATATTCACTTAAAATAGGGAACCACAGATSATCTTATTTCTTCCCATCATTCCCTAGTGTTCACTGAAGCCTAACTTGTTTACTATAGTGACTGAATTGCAAATCACCTTTTCTCAATTACTGTTTTCAGCTGCTGAGCAGACGGGCTCTCTTGACACAAAGTCATTAAATTATCTGCCAAAAATGCTAAAAAAACCCTAATTATGTTCTTTGAACTCTATCACTTGGARCAATTACCAAATAAAATGGCTCAAATATATTAGTTATAATTCAGAAGTTTATCTGAACCTAGATGTTGTCTGTTCTGGAAAGGTACCTGATCTTCTATTAGACATAAAATAATCTTCCATTATTAAAGAGTATTAATGATTGGTTTAAGTTCATAGTGACTAAAAACAATTCACTGCTTGAAATCAAGCTAATTTTACTAAGTAACTGCKGAGGTGGGATGTGTGTGCACACGTGTGTAGGGTGCAAGTTCTTTAACATGAAAAACAACTTGTCACAYGTGTTTGTCTCTCCCTGTTGCTGCCCACACAACAACAGGGAGAATGACCAACAGCACAGTAGGAACAAAGCAAAACTAATCACACACAAAACATTACCAAGCAGGCAAAATAATAGAAAATGACATGAAAAACAGTTATTTAAATGAAAAAATTGTAGGATGTTTAAGATGAAACCACTTTCAAGCTAAGAGCATCCACTTGAGTGTCCACAATATTTGTTTTGTTGTGCAATAGCTAACKAGTTATTGGAATGCATGAACATGCTATAAATTCAATATGAAAAGTGATAGCCAGCAATCTTCATACTTGATGCATTCAAAATACTCTAGCGTACAGAGACCCTAGAAATTCTTATTCGTCTAGTAAAAGCTCTTCACTAATCAGTCATCGCATTTGTCTTGAGATGCTTCACATGCACAAGAAGGAAAATTCATGTATAAAAGGCATGACCATCACTTTATGGCTAAGCAAGCTAAGCCTACAGAGCCATCTCYAGAACCTAACTCTAGAATCTCTAGAATTAACAAATACATTTGACTCAGGATACAATGACTGAAAATTTCATGCTAGAGCTGGTAGCATCAAATATATATGGTATAATGAAGTTCACCTTTGGAATGTCTGAACTTATCCAACAGAGTACAAGTTTGATCAGGCAATGCTAACAGGTTTTTTTTTTTTTTTTTTTTTTTTTTTAAATCCACACAAGCAGCTACACCTCTAGTCAGATCTGCATTACTATGAAGTAAACTTTCTTACTACTCACTAAAATCAGAGTATTGGCCAAATACCCCAGTATGTAACAGACCAACAGACAAGAGCTCAGACAGTGTGTAATCTTGTGTCTATTTTCCTTGCATTGAGACAGCAGTGTGACAAGCATAAAATAAAAATGTATGCCAAGATGTAAATGAAATGAAGGATGATAAATTCTTTCAAATCAACATGAGTACTTGGTCATAACTCCTTTCTCAACTCATAGACATTTTGTTTAATATTAGTACTGTGGAAGACTAAACCCTCCAGTCAAACCCCAAACCATGGTTGTTTGTCATTCTTTCTTAATAACAGTCATGGTAGTCTCCTATTTTGTGCAAGTCACCCACATATCACTTACAAATTAAAACTCTATTAGAGAAACAAAAGCAAGTTTACTTATCCCTGTTAGAGTCATGTTATTTTAAATTAAGTGCATGGAGCCAACACTGCACAACTTCAGGAGGAAAAGACAACACTGAAATYAAAACTCACATAGACAATTCACACATTTTTATTTAAGTTCTCAACTGAATAAGAAACATCCGCAAGCAGATACCAACCTGTTTGAGGGTTGACCAGAATACTGCCAGGTGGTATGCCTGCCGCTTCCAAGGGAAGCAAAAAGAAGCTAGTGCTAGTAGGTGCCACTTGCCCACTTATGCCACCATCAAAGGAAAGAGAGTGACTAGTGCTGACAGTTGGATAGACGGCCGGCGTGCCATGAGAAGGTTGGCTTAGAGCTGGCACTGGGAGAGGCTGCTGGGTATGAGAAAGAGAACCCGTGGATGACCCTACACTACTAGAAGACTCTGAACCTAGGAAAGGAGTAACGAGAAATTGTTTTTACCTAGTGACAGAGACATCATGCTCACTTAAAATATATATCTGTGAATACTTAAAGCTCAGCATATTAACACATTATTAAACAACTGTCTTTTCAAAGAACTTCCCCTTCACCTCCCCAAAATACCGTTACAAGCTTCCACCTGTAAACCAAGGGTCAATTCATCACTCCTTTGCATCCTTGCTCCGTTTGTGAAGGGAGGCTTTACCATCTCAAATGGATATTCCGGACAGGAAAATGTATTCTGGTACACACACAAACATACCACAGTCCCGTTCATCCATAATTCAGATGGCAGTTCATATATGCCACAATGAACCATGTATACATATCAATCTATCCAGTGGTCTGAATTTGCAGGGTTTACTACATATGCACAGACTAGAAGTACTGTATATGTGCAGGGCATTGGTAATGCACGGGTCCAGAGCCTCTTTGGATACACTAGCTAAGTTTACATGCTCTGTAGACCTAGGCAAGTTGCACAACACCAACCCTTAAACCCCACCTCCCCACAAATCACAATTTTGATCTGAGAATTTTCAGGTGGAAATCAAGAACACCACTGGAAAAAAAATCCAGCAGTATGGTAGCTTTAGGTTAAAAAGTCTTGTGCAACAATTAAAAGTTGAAGGACTAAAAYAAAACTATGTTAAAACAGCAATTATCTTGCAGACATTCTACAAACAATGCAAGGCAGTGGAGAATCAGACCCTGAGTTTTCTGAAAGCTAGTGCATGCAATGAAATGTAATCTTCGTCTGACATGGAGAGCTCTCAAGAACTTCACTGTTCCTAGAGATCTCTACGTGTACAATTTAATCACACTTCCAAGTTGGTCTTTGCTATGATACTTGCAGGATTTGGGAAACAGAAAATAACTGGTCAAATTGAAGAATTCTTCATCAATAGCCTCTATACAATCTAGAAGAGAAAGTAAGACTAAAAAAGTACTATAATGAAATTAATCTAATGCATGTAATCACTTTGCAAACCTTCACAGAAATTTGCAACTATGACCTTTCATTTCTGCAGATGAGTTAGTATAGCTCAAAGCCCTTAGAGATGTTTATTATCTTTTTTTTTTCCCCCTACTGAAAAAGGGCCCGAAACACAAACCTACAAATTATAAACAGGGCAAAAGAAGRTAACACAGCCCTACAACACAACCCTCACTTGATCAGAGCTACTTTGACTACAATTTGTTTACAAATTATCCACTTCTAGATTATGTAGAGAAGTTAGGCTGAAGCCATTATACATAAAGCCAATGACACCGTAGACCAAAGTGAACAAAAAAAAATAATCTCAACACATGCAAAAATCACCACAACCTTTAACTGCAGTGAAGCAACAACCACCAAAATAGGCATTCTGAACTTCAGATGCTAACTCTCAGAAGGCCGAAATACAGTTTCCAGAGAACTTAAGAATCAATTTATACTCTCTCAATTCAGAATAGATAGCCTTTTAAGAATATGTTTTATGTATACTGTTGTCAGATTTTAATTTGTTTTTAGGTTATGCCAAATATTTTTTATAAGGTTATCCTCGGTATGAGGACACCGATTCAAAGCATACGCAGAAACACTAGTGAGGTGTTTTGCAATAAAATTTACATAAGTATAAAAGTGACAAACAGAATTGCTATTGCTGTACAGCTAGAGAGCTATTTTGCTGTATTTGGACAAAAAGTGTGATGCTGTAATTATGAGGTAGTGGTGGTTTAAGAGGAAGTAAAAACTTTGTAAACAGATTTTCATTTGAAACAAGGTTTATAAATAAGAGCAAAGCCAAACACAATACAGCCAAGCAATCACAGTCCCCTTTTTTACATATCTACTTAATATTCTCAAACAGCACCACCATAATCCATCCATCTCTTTAAAGACTCAAAACTCACCACAACCAAGATCTATTGAATCAAATAACTGTATTCAAGTACTAATTTACTAGATTTCTTTCAGTTTGACCCACAGAGGATTTGCATCCAATTTTCCGAGGTTGTTTTGACATCAATAAGTTAGCACACTTTTGAAGCACAGAATTTTATAAAATGAATATTTTTCAACTTTTCTGAATCTTACAATAAAACAGTATACTTTGCTCCACTGATCCGAATTTTCAGCAATCTAAAAATTAAATAAAAATTTTTTAGCCACATTCAAGTTCCCACAATGGTACTGAGAAAGATCACAACAAATGTAACTAATGACTCACACAATTTATTGCCTTTCCCTCCCTCTACTTAGCATGGTAATGGCAGTTTCCTTTCACTACAGGACGCAGCTTTATCACACTGCAACTAAAGAGTTGGAATCGAGTGCAATTTGAACGCTGAAATATATTTGTTCCATAGAAAGTACTTATGATAAGTGTTTTCAAATGCTTTACATGAGATGAAATATTTAGCTTAAATCATCGGTAATCCGCTTTTAATTTCTACTCACTATGTTAAAAGTCTTCATTTAATTTGCAATCTGAATTTGAGCGCTGTAGCCCTAGGTGTGTAGCCCTGCTATGTATGCAGTTCCCACTGCAGTCAGTGGGAGTTGTATGCAGGGGACACCTACAAGTCTGAGGCCCTTTCTTATGTACACACCTGCAATACACATTAAGTATCAAAACAATCTCATACTTCACTGCAATGCTATGATATGTTTGTACAGATATTATACCTGTCTTAGACAGCCTGCCTGTGCTTTTGCTGCTTCCAGAGCTATCTCCTCTTGTCAGAACTGATATCCCACTGAAGCTGCTGGCTTTGGTTACAGCTGGCTTCAGATTGCGGCTGGAGCTGTCGGAGTCGGTGCTGCTCCAAGGACGAGGATCACAGTACTTCAGCTCATTCTCAGTACTGCTCTGATGGCTGTTGGCTGATCTCCCTGACGCTTCCTTATTGATCCTGTAAGTTATAAACTAAATTTTTAGCACAAGTATCAATTGAAAAACAAAGGGAAAAAGAAAAGAAAAAAGTGAAATGCATGCAGAATACATTGGGATTTGTTTTTTTAAAGAATGCAAATACCTAAATATCTGCCGTCTTTGTTGTGTACTATTAGTTTCTTCCTCCTGGATTCTGTTGACATTTTAATAAGATAGCTTAATATTTTTTAACAAAATATAAAAATGAAACAAAATAAAACCACAAATTTTCTTACCTTTTATCAATAATGTAATTCTCCTGGGAACACAGGGACTGAGGACAGAAAAAAAATACAGAACTTATTATTAATGGCATCTAAACTAATAGTCCCACTACACTGTACAAACAAAAAGTGCAATTTAAAGTCTTCTGTATTATATATGAATGATCTCTATATTATATATTCTATATATTATATATTCTATGAATATTCTATATTATATATGATAAGCATCCTCTGTATATTAAGGTGCCTGAAACATCTGCCTCTTCAGTGAATAATTTACACACAAAAAATGAGAAAATAGGCCCATCTGCAAGAAAACAGCATTAAAAGGGGGTCAGCATTGTGATCTTTTTATCTTTAATAATATTTTTCTGAAGTTTTATTTTCTTGCATAGGACCATGTTAGAGAATGCATCAAAAYACCTCTTTAAGAAATTTTTCAGTATTATTTAAAATTCATTTAAGCCACACTAATAATTCTTATCTGCTAAATGGAAAGTAGCATCTCAAAATAAACAAACAAGAAAAAACATATGAATGGCTGTGTAGGAAGCAAGTRGTCAAAACAGAATAAGATTTTATGCGATACCTACATCTTGTGCAAATATTCTCTCTCTAGCTCTCTGATATTCTTCTTCACGTTCTTCTATGGATTTACTTCTTCTGTCATCTTTTAATCGCATTCTCATCTAAATTAAGTGACACAGTGTCAACTTCTAGAGGAAAATAGTATAAACATACAGTCAAATGTACCCAGTTGAAGAGGAAAATAATCTGTAAGTATTTACCTGGTTGTCATCTTTGTCTAAACTAGAGTTATCTCTTTTAAGGATGTACCGTTTCTGAAAATCATCACTCTTCTCATCCTTTATATGCTCAGAAAATTTTTGGTCAGGTCTACAAAAAGCCATTAGAAAGAAAAGACTTATGGATTTTTACATGTATACTATACATAGTGGAATTAAGTGATGCATGATGGATCAGTGTTGCATATATTCATACTCTAACTTAACTGACAATTTTTGACAACAGTTTGTTGCCCCAACAATGGAAAAGGTACCAAAAATATTAAGATGTTCTGTGTAGTTGATAACTCCTGTTCCTGATGCRTAACAAACCTGCTTTTAAAATCTCTTCTTTCAAAGTTTTTGCATCAAATTTCCAATTAAGGTGCCAAACAATCACATGCCCGGGGGAAAGAGAAGTGCTCTTGAATCCAGCCTTTTGCCGTGCAAGAAACRTTGGGCATGCATGGAAGTGATGATTGGTGCCTTCTGCTAGAGCTGCAGTAACTTTAAATTCATTGAAATGGAAAATAGAAGATAAGGAGATACATGTAGGAGAAAGCATTTCAAATTTACAAACTTTTTAAAACAAAAATAAAGGAGAAATTCACAAGAGAAGAATGACAGGGATGCTTACAAGCAGGAATTTCAGAACACAACAGTGAAAGGATGAAACAACAGATTGTATTATACACAGTCTTGGTATTTTATCTACTTTATGAAAGAGTAATGAGATTTTACAAACTATTGTTATCAAAACTAGAGATCAACTACCTAGACAACAAAATAACTAGCATGGTATGAGATGTTCTCAGACAAATCAGAAATCATTTGCCTGATAAAACACATGGTATACATATGACCTCTATTTCTGTTCACTCAGGGCACTTGCATAGAAATCAGGAGAAACTTTTCTGTTAAACAGGCAAGCCTAACTATCAGTTACTGGATGCCCAAATATAATTAGCAGGCATTTCAGAGAACCTTTAGACTCTCTTACCTCTTTCTTTTAAAGGTCCCTGAATTTACTGCCCTGCAATCACCAACTTCCCACTCCACTGAGACGTCCCAGTATGCACTGGGTTGTTGATGTCAGTAACATCACTGAGCGGCGCTGGAGCCGGGAATCTGCCTATGAGGAAAAGGTAAGTTTGGTTTTATTCAGCATGGAGCAGATCTCCAAGGTTTTCTTTCCAAATTCTTATTTTATATCCAAAGTGATTTAAAATAAGAATACTGAAAACATTAAAAATCCTTATGTCTACAGGTTAGATGAAATGCCTGCTAATTAGTAACTAAAACAATAGGGGGCTTCCAGAGGTCATTGGATTTTTAACTATATAAATATAGATTAAAAAAGAAGTTAAGAAATCATGCTTTAATAATTTTTACTCCACATCTGAAATGATAGATTGAAAGCTTCAGCTTAGGGGTGCTAGTAGAGATACAGGCAAGAAGTTGACTTGTAATTTCACCCACAGAATTTATAATCAAAGCAAAAAAAATATATATATATTCAAACTCTATACAGCTTTCTGAAACTTTCTGAGGTACATTTTTATTTAAGTGAAGTTCCAGTGGGATATATGTGAGTTCTAACAACTCAAAAATTAAGGCAGATAATTAGATTCTATTCCCCTAAATTCAGCATGAGTCTATATAGGGACAATGATCAGGATGCAGGCGCCGTGTACTATATCTGTGCTCAAATTAGAGAATAATTAAAGAAAGTTGTCATGCAAACTCAGAACTAAAAATCAGGTCCTAAAAACTGAAATATGTCAACACATTACTCCTTCATATTTCTGAAAGGGAAACAAAGAGTGCAAAAGTAGAAAACAGATGGGTCCTGTTAATGAAACATGTCAGCTGTGCCTGGAGTTCATAGATGCCAGGAATCCAGGGGTACCTTTGGTATTAGGGGGTTTCACCAAGAACTCTCCAGCCCTCACAGTAAAGTAGCACGACATCACTTGTTAACCTGGCAGATGCTTCCGCYGATGAGACATGGCTTCCCTGCTACATTTACTTTGTAAAGCAGTGTGGTATCTATGAGCAACGTTATGCTATCAACATGTTTTCTATGCCTATCTTTTCCTTACAGATTCTTGCAGTATAATAAGTTCTACAAGTCTTGCTCCCTCCCCTCACCCTATTGTAAACTGTCCCGTTACAGGTTTTCCAAATACTCAACCTATTTTCCAAAGGAAGAGAGGAATACACTCAAACATGGGTGTAATTCTTGAAAGAGATAAATAATTTATAAAGAAATTTTATGATAACACAGTTTGTAATACTTTTCTGCAAGAAAATCACCACCACCAAGTCTTAGTTTACAGATAACATTCTTATTTTAAATGCTTTAAACGTGAACAGATCACATCATTGCACACCACTGGACCTTGAGCAGTGAAGACCTCTCAATCCTCTCTCCTTGTTGCCTGATTCTCAATGACTAAATATATTCCTAGAGATGCAGCATCATTGCTTAGCAAGTCCCAGATGCTTAAATTCATGCACCAAAAACAATTCTTTTCAAGACTTTTTACACTTACATTCTTGTATTGCTAGTTTTATTTACTATGACTGATTTCCCACTCTGGTCCACGTTGTGCTCTAATCCAAAGTAAGCAGCTACCCTGTGCAACAGCATTCTATGGTAAGATGTCATTGGGGGAAACTTTTTTCTTGGAACTCTGGAAGAAAGGAATAGTAGCTTTATTAAACAGGAACACTCTCTTTTTTTTCTTCCTATAAGAGTACAGTACTTACTCATTATTACCAATGAAATCTAAAATTTCCTGTTCTAATTTCAGCAGCATCATTCTGTCCCTGAAAATAAAAACACAGCAACTCACAAATGAGACACACCAATAACTGCAGCTGTATTCATCTTAAGAATACACAGTCAACATCTGCAATCAATGGATGATGGCAGACTATAAACAAGACCACCAAGTATCAAATGTTTCTCGTTTCTGTTTGTTTTAAAAAAGAAAAGTATCCATTTTTCACTGAGCTATATTTTACTTAGCCTGCCTAGTGAAAAAAAATGTTCCTCCAAGTCATCTCCGTTGAATAAGTTCAGTACAAGTCATGGAGAAGATGATATCAAGAAGGGAAAAAATGATAAAGGATCATGTTGATCAACATGGGTAGCAAGACTCTCAGGCCTCACCTGGCTCTTCAATTGTGAGTTGGGGCATAGGAATTATTGAAACCAAGAATGACTAGACTACAGAGATTGGAAAGGTTTGTACCTATCTACATCTAGGAAAAAGGTTGAATTTGGCACATGTTGCAACGAGATGTTTAAGAGAATTGAAAAACAATAAAATTCAAGGGAATTGAAACACACATAAGCTGAATCATCATACAAAAAAAATTCTAAAAACGCTTATGCTAGTTTCAGTAGACTGTGAAAAAGTAATGAAATTAATTGTCACAGTTCAGAAKTAGGACATGTCATAACTAAGGTTCCAGTTACTGGGTATGTAAATCCATGGCAGACTTTCATCTGCAATTTTTTATTTTCATTAGAACACTTTATGACTYCAAAAGGAGCCGAGTAAGCATCTAACAATCTGTGCTTTGGCTTCATAGGACAAAACAGTTTGTGGGACTCTTATGACTCTTAATAGCAGTACAACTCCATGGTTTTTGTCTTGTATGGATATCCACAGCACTAGYATCAATTCCTACTGAGGAAGAGAGTAAACAAGACAGAGAAGCATACTGCAAATCTCAAAGCAAGAGAACCACATCAACTATATTACTAAAACAATAATAGACTTGAGTTAGGTCAGAACTGGTTTCTGATACGCAAAGAGGTTTATCTCCAAAAAGAGTTACATGGTACAGGTTAAGATAAGGTCTTTTSTAAATTTAGTGCAAGGCAGATGAAAACAAAATACAGTTCGGTCTCTAACAACTAAATACCAAAAAAGCACAAATTTTACAGACACAGTATTATTAACACCCCGAGATTGGCTACTGCACACAGACAGAACTCATTGTTTGCTCATTAAACTTGAAAAGCATTTAAACCATTCCAGGGTACTGAATCTCTGCTCCTGTAATGCACATGACACAATGGAGTGGTGTTTCAGAAAGCCTACRTGACAAAATGTCATCCTAAACTAACATGCAGTGTTACACCATTAAGCGCTGGGAAAGGTGGTGCTACACTTCTAACAATAAGAAAGAAAAATGGGGAATTAAGTTCTTTCACACTTACCTAGGATTGTTTTTTAAAGTATTTACTAAAAATTCATGAAGATCTATGCCCGTGGAATCTGTGTATTCTTGACTGGAATCTAAGTGCAGCAAGGAAGAGCACAATTACATTTTGAAAAAAGTATTAACACTCTCCTCCATTTTATTGCTAAAAATTAGGCATATAATTTTCAAAAAAAAAAATGCATATGGTCATGCAAATTATTTGCATAAAGTTATGCATATAATTAATGCCAAATATTAGGCATAAGATTCCCAATATTAAACACTTCCACTTTCCCAGAGGAAACGCTCAAGTAAGTACCCGGTCYCACAGCTGCTTCTTCAAATACCACAATTCAACATGTAACACAGAACAAAGATCTCAATAATGCCACCAATCTGTTAATGAACAGCTCCATCTACACATTATATATACACACTACTTTGATGTACAGACACGAGTAAAACACAGATGCACAACTGATMTTCTATTTATCAGCTCAGACTATTGCATATTCACATACACAAGACAGATGCTATGGATTGAATGCAAAAAGATTCATGTAGTAAGACAAACAGAAAAGAACTGTTAGTCTTGAGAACATGCAACATCTTTTATTTCTACAGTAATTCTAAAGAATTCCCCTTAGTCCAAGTCACTCAAGTTTATGAATATGGAATTCTAGGTAGATTTATAATTAGAACTTAAAAGCAGAATGATAGATGGCAAACCTCTCGATAACATTTTTCTGGGTAGTTTATCACTTGACTTTTCCTTTTCTGTTTCATCTTTTGCGGGCTTTTCTTCTTTCTCAAAAGACTGTGATAACTGGATTTGGATTTTCTCCTGTCAAAAAATAAAAATTAGCCATCATGGAAGTTATTTTAAACTATAWACACCACCATGAGAAATGTTTTGTGCTCTGCTATATGCATACTTTAGTAACAATGAAAATAACTGTCATTATAATCATGCATACACTTTATGCAAACACAAATTAAACTATTTATGAGTGAATCAAAAAAACTACAAAGACAACTAATATTTGTGGTATTTCAGAACTTGCACACACTTCCAGGCCATGAACAATATTCCAAAATAAATCTAGAGTATCTTCAGGCAAAYGTTAAGGTGTTCAAGTTTTTTAGGCCCAAAAATTGTACACATTTTTTTTTTTTTTAATAGGTCACCCCATGTTTTTTTCTTGATAAAAAGAAAACACACATATAGCAAAAAGATTTTATATCTAGTTAAGACAGACCAACAATTCAAATTTCACTAAAAGCAAAAATGTAAAAGTTAAAAATATAAAGACAGAATTAATAACAATATCATTATCAAGGCTTAGATTCATAAACTGGTGCATGTTTCGAAGTAGCTTTATGTGCAACCATCTCAAAATCCATTATTTTTATGCAACTAGACAGCAATTGTGAAGGTATTTCTCATGTACAGTAGTTTTCCTTTGTAATTAAAATGAATAGTTGTCCCCTAATTATGGGAAAGTGGATTTTTTTTTTTTTTTTATGTTAGTAAATGCCACTTTATTCAGATAACGAGAGCAGCACATGAGGTAGAAATGCTGAGAGGAGCAGGAAAGCAGCAAGCCTGCAGGGGACTCCCCCCATTCCTCCCACCCTAATGCCCCTCAAATGTCAATTCTGCTGCCCCAGAAGCCACCAAGGGAGTTTATGTTCCCTCCTCCACCACCCTAGAGCAACCACCCCTTTCCAAACCATGCAACCTGGCCCAGATCTATTTTTCTCCTCCCACTCTTCCTTCATTCTGCACCAAATCCCTTCCCATTCCAAGTCCTTGTTCTTCCTTCAAAGCCATTTTTCCCCCACACGTTTTTGCTATTCTAAAGCCTTCTTCACATATTCAACTACCTGCTACAAACTATTCCCAACCTCTCATCCCCAGAGCTGGTCTCTCACAAAAGCTGTCGTCTAGAACTGAACGTGACCAGGCTCCCCCAAGGCAGAGGAGTCTTTCCCATGCAAGMACATCTTTGCACAGCCCGTGCTCAGCCTCCTGCCCTAGCAAACCCAACTGCTCTCTACCGTGGTCCTTCCTGAAGTGGACAACARGAACCCTACCTACACTTTGGAGGGTACAATAAAAACTACTTTCAAATTTTGTTTTAGAAGAGAACTATTTTGACATCCAAGTGAGTAAATGCATTGSATGCTAGTTTTATCAAATCTCATTTTTATTATTGCCTATTAAAGTACTTAACTTCAAGTTTTAAATTCATTAATACACATATATCCTGCAAACTGACATTAGAAATAAAAGCCAATCAGTCTTTCTGAGGTTTTCTACACCTACATCTARGAGAATGTTACCAATGATTAAAAATAATCTCCCCTGTAACATTATTTCGCAGTCACAAGTATTCATTTCATTTCCAAAATAAAACTTTGTATTTCTCACTGTACTTCAATAACACAAACGAGCAATGTGTTTCTCACTGATAACTGCATTACACTCCACCTGTCCACCCAGTGCATACATAATTGTTTGTTATTTGAGAAAAGAAAAACGACAACAAAAAAATCATGGCTTACATCTTCAGAAATTATTTCCAACACAGATCCACCAATAYAGCAAGCAATTCTCTATTCTACAATAACACTCTGTTAAACTTCATGAGCAATTACAATTTTCAAACTGTGATTTTTCTTACTAGAAATTTGATCCAACTGCACTAAGCTCATCCAAAGTAAAAACTTGAGACAACATTTAAGTCATACTTAAGATTACAATTAACATTTTTATATTTCTTACCCAAACAAGAGCAGGAAAAAAATAGCCATATTATAAAACAATTCTGATATAGAATTGGTGCTAATAGCAAAGTGTGATACAGAACAGTGTAACAAATATTTTATGATTTCATGGTATAAAAACTATAATATTAATTAGGTATTTCTGTAGCTTTGTAGTCATGCATCAAGTAGGTCATATTTTTCAGTTTATTTTCCTTTATATTCTTTTAATCCCTTCCTAGCAGTAGCTAGTCTCTACTAGTATATCAATTTAACTGAACCTTCACAATCAATTTCCTCGCCCAAATCCTCATTCCTTTGTCTTTTAATGCAGGTCTCCATTTCTCCAGAAACGTTGTCTTCACTGCTAATAATGAGCCTCAGTTTCCTAGACTGTGGAGTATCATCATCATCATCCTCATCATCATCAGAGCAGCATCATCACTTTTTGCCTCTGACAATCTGTTACTTACTTCACTCTGGACATGGATATATTCCTAAAGATTACTCTTTTGTAAAATGGACGTTTATTTTAGTCAACAGATCAGAGAAGCAGGAATTGTCACCAAATTCTGATACTAAAATAGAATAAATACCACCACCCCACTTACAATTCCTCAAACAAAAACCATCAAACTAAGCAATTTAAAATATTTGAGACAGACAGAYGGGAAGTATTATGAATTTTACTCAAAGGACCTACATTTATCATCTATCTCAAACTATCYCTCATGGAAAATTACACAAATCAGTATCAACTAATGTCATGGACACTGGTCTTTTTTTTTTAAATTATTTTTTTCTCCTCGCCTCCTTTTGAGCTGTTAAAGGTAAGACCAAATTAATCAGTTATATTTTTCCTCATGCAATAAATCAATGAGGAAAGCTTAAAATTTGCAAGATCTCACCCAGATTCTTCAATAATTAAGAGCATATTTTCCATGGTTGCAAATAATTGCTCAAGAAAATACAGAATAACTCAGAAAATAAAATGATTTGCCTTAGAACTCCTCTGGTCTAGCACCTTTCTCATTCCAGCCATCTGTTAGAGCTGAGGAGCCAGCTGTGATGCWCTGAGTGATATCCGCACCTCTACATGCCTGACCCTTTCACGACCAATAGCTCTGTACACATGAGCATGAAAGGAGTGACTGAAGAGCTGCAGACCAGACTACAGAGAGACTTGAAAACAAGCGCCAGTTTGCAGGCTAGTAAGGATGTCTTGGATTCTATCAAAGTTAGCTTTCTAATCATTAAAACAAGTATTACCAGCAACTTTATTCTAAATTTTCTTCTTCCTTACTTCTAAAAGACATTTTTACAATGTTCCTGAATAATGAATTCTAGTTTTGTGTCACACTCTTGGCGATTGCAGAGCAGTGCTATTAACTTTWCCAGGACGGGGAAGTTTATTCTAGCACGAGAGAGGGCCATACACGACAGCCTGTCGCTTCACCTAGCCCCAGCCTCCCCAGGCACACACAGCACAATTAATACATACATCTCATACTTCACATTCTTTCAAAGTGCAGCCACCAACAGCATTGCTTACAAAAACTTGTCTGTGCTGTTCCCAAARAATACTTGGGAAAGAAAGCAGAGTGGGTGAAGTTGCCTGTATGAGTTGTTCTAGCAGGTCATGCAAGACCCATGACCCATGGGTTGGGGACTCTGGCATCAAACAATACCACACAAACTCCCATCTTCAATTCTTCTCTTCATCATGTATTTCTCTGCTTCATAAGACACAAGAATTCACAACTAAGTTCTGTGAAGAGCTGGTAAGTTATGCTACAAATCAATCACAAATTTGTTATTTAACTGCCTAATGATGGCCCACACTATGTATACAGTTTAAAACTGCCTGAAGTTCACTGTGACACTAGAAGGCTAAAATAAGCGACAAAACCCCCTCTTTCTCTATGCCAGATATCATCCCAATAGTAGTTCAGAAAAATAAAGCAAGATTGCTCCTGAAATTACTAACTTTGTAAAAGCTGTATTTAAAAAGAAAAAAAGAAATAAAAGAAAAAAGGTAGTGCCTACATATTTAAGGAGTATCCAAAAGACTTGCTTTTGTACAGTAMGTTACTTCAAATCATTTCAGAAATTTCAGTAACAATTTTACCTGGAGGTCCTGTGATATTTCAGCTGTGGGAGGTGGTGGATATTCTTCACATACAGCAAGGCTCCGAACTAACTTTAACTTTGTGTTTGACTAAAGGAAAGTATGTATAATTAAAAACTCTGGCTTTAAAATGAATACCTTAAGCTATTGCTTTGCATTTTAACTTATGCAAAACAAATTGGCTGAAAGTTGCATTTTAATATTTAAAATAGCATTAGGAATTTTCTGTATGAAGGAAAAAACTAAACAATTGCAGCTCTTGAAGGCACTGTCAGCACAATGGAGCACAGCTAATGATAAGTAAATAAACTCTTTGGAAAAAAAAAGAGTTTCTCTCCATAACAATAAAAAGCCACCAAAAAATATAAAGGCAAACCACAAAAGCAGACAACTAAGCAAGACAAAAATACAACAGAGCAAAACAAAGCTGCATTGCCAAAAATAAAWGATAAAACTAAAGGCACTATTCACAAAGTAACAAGGCTTCACCAAGCTCGAAGGATTTCCTTAGCATGCCAGCACACGAGTCCACTGTACCTTTGATCTTTTGGCTGTCTGTCCAAAAGACTGCACTGGCCGCTGAATGATAGGCACAACAAGAGAGGTTTACATTAAACTTCACAGTTCAACTTTATTAATGCAAAAGTCTATATAACAGAGAATGTTGTAATAATTACTATCAAATCTGTGAAATGAGCAAGTACCACCTCAGGCTGAAGGATTACATACTTTCTGCCTCCCATTTTCATCATGTGAAATACTTGATCTTTCTTCATTTATCAGCAATATATACCACAGACACTGAATATGAAACAACCATTCTTGTTTAGTTTTGCCTAGTAAGACAGTTCACTCTTGGCCAGCTCCTATATTTAAAATTCTTATGCCCTAATTTCCTAGGCAACATGACACCGTKTTATAGATTTGCTTCCAGTTTGTGAAACTAC